TTTGACCCCAGTACTCTTTCCTGCCATGACAGGGGGTCGGACTCGATGATCTGCTCAGGTCCCTTCCGACCCTAGAAACTATGAAACTATGGTTGTAGTCACAGCTTTTGATCCTCTCTGCATCTCTTGGTGCATCTTCTGTATCCCACCATGCCGGCATTCTGTCGTGCTCCTGCCACTTTCTGCCTCTTGTCTCACATACCTTCTCCTGCTGTTTCTGCTCTGTCTCCCACTCTCCTCTGTTCCTGTCTTGCTTCTGGCCTTGTTCCTCTTCCCATTTCCATTCTTTACCATTTCCTCTGTTGTTGTTGCTACTTCTGGTGTTGCTCCCATCTTCTCCATTGTCTTTCTTCTCTGCTTTTCCAATTTTGTCCACCTCTATATGTCTCTAGACTTGCTTTTCAGCTCTTCATTTCCTTTTTCATCTCCTGGTTACTTGCCATCACTGCCATTGTTTTGAACTTCGGGTTTCTCTCCTTCACTCCTTACACCCTGACACTCCATTGATTTCTATCTTTGCCCTTAAGACATTGATCAGACTTTCAGGTAATCACTTGATTTTAGCTCTGGAGGCCAAGAAAATGCTGATGGGAACATTATTTTTTGGTACTTAGAAAAGCAGGCAAGTGGTCCTTCCACAGGGAATTGGCACTGGACCTGAAGGTACTGCAATACCAGGCCAACACCGGGTAGGCCAGAGCCAGCCCTGACACCCTCTCCTTGGTGCCAAAAATACTTGACCTTAGCCAAAAGGTTGAGATGCTGATAGGACCTACCACAAAAATAAGTTAGTGCAACCACCTGAATAAGATATATGGTCAGAGCTGTCCCCTGGGTAGGGCAAATCAGGGTGACTACCCTGGGCCCCGCGCTTTGTGGGGCCCCGCAGAGCCAGGTGGAACGGCTGCACAACCTCTCATGGGGCCCACCTGGAGCTGGCAACTTAGCCCTGTGCCATGGAAGAAGCATCCAGCTGCTTGCCACCTCCCCCTGCCGTGCACTGCTGACTTCATGTCTGCTGAAGAGCAGCTCATCCAGAGCATGTGGGATCTGCCTGGCCCCAGGCATCAAATTTAATTGCTAAAGCACTTCTATATGCTAGCTTTTTGGGGGTTCCATGGCCCTGTACAGTGTTAAAGGGACCCCATACTCCCCTAGGGCCAGCTATGTATATGGTAGTGAGCACAGCCCCCTCAGCGCTGACTTTTTTTCAAGTCATAGTGAGCCACTATATTGAATCTGTTTTGACTTCCACTTCACTGTCACAGCTGAGCTTCACTTTTCTTTTCCAGTTCTAATGATTCTTGTTCCTTCGCCAGCCTTAAATGCCTGGCAGACATCACCAAACAGGGCCCCAAACAGTTCATCCAGAATGCCTCTGTTGCCCCCTCGGTCAGCCTGTTGCATTTTATTAGTGTGGCCCTGCCCTCCATGAGGTGGAACAGGACCAGGTTGCCCTGTGTCTCATTTGCGCATACATTTTTGGAGAATCTCAGGACTGGTGACAAAAACACACGATTCCCATCATAAGTGGTGGTCTAATAAACACATGGATCTTTTTGGTAGGGGTAGGGAGGGGGGAGGGATATCTGGAGTACACGCACATATTGATCAGTGCTAAACTCTGGGGTCACCATGGCTTTAAATGCTGCTGACTCTGCTGGGGCCCAGCCCAGTGAACTATGTGGTGAATCATAAGCCTTTTGTATTTGAACTAATGTGATGCATGGTTTGTACTGTACTTAAGTTAGTATCTCTTGTGGGTAAAGATCAAGTGTAGTATAAGATCAAGTGTGGGGGCATCCAAACTCCAAGACCTCTAGGCTTGGGTCTGCACATAGGATGCCTGCTAATGGATTTAGGAGTATCTGAAGTCCCAGGGTGATAGGTCTGGGATGGAAGATGCTTGGTGGTTGTAGTGCCATACATGGTGTTTAGAATGATTGAGTTCTGCCTGCTCAATCAGTCTGGTTTTTGGAACAATTGAGTTCTGCTCAGTTGATATAACTTGGAACTGATTTGACTAATTTGTCCTGGAACACAAAATATATTATTAAAAAAATAATTGTTTGTGCTGGATTTAAGCAAGTACAAAAGTGCTGCTTAAAAGCATGTTGATGGAGTACCTGTGCTAAAGCTTGCAGCAGTTTCGAAAAAGTTAAAAGTTCTGGTTGAACTGTGTCTGTGGGTACTAGTAGTAATGTGCCTATATTTTAAGTTGTGTTTGTTTTAAGGTCAGTGTTTTCAAATATGCTTCTCACTTCTGTGAGCAGAGTCTAATAGTAAGGGGGCGGGGGACGGGAGGGTAAGGGGTTATATATAACCATGTATCTGATTCAGATGGGTTGCACGTGGCCCCCCCCCAGATTAATTTTCCTTGCTGCAGCAGTGGGAGGGGGACAATTTCAAGGTAAACCTCCAATATTTAGATTCTATACCTGAAAAATTACAACAAATTTTCCACATATAAAATCTAATTATTGGAAGGTTGTCTTATATTCAGGGTCATCTTAGATTTGGGTAAATATTTTAATTCTCCCAAATAAGGCAGTTGACCATGAATTCCAGCCATCAGCCACATTCTTTCTCTGGACAAGCTGTTCAGCAGGTCTCGCTGCCCAGATCCTTAGGTTGAAAAGTAAAATTAGTCTTTATTTCCTTCTGCCAGAACTTCCACCCTCTTTCCTAGGATCGAAGAACTCAGACACTTCAGGTGAGGATAAAGGAGAGCTCTGTACTCCTTTTTCACATTGGGGTTACTCTGTGAATCCAAGCTGTCCTTTATATCTCATCAGACATAGCTCTGATTTACAGTCTTCAACTGTATGATCTTACTAGGACTTGTTCTGTGTATAAGAGGAAGGTAGGCAGAGTCTGGCACAGGGCACACCTGAACTTTAGCCAGCATAAAAAACCTGGCAAAAGAACAAGATGAGGAAGGGAACCGTTCGGTAATTTTGACATCATCCCAAAACAGGAATCAGGTCTAGAAATAAAAGGGAAATCAGGTATTTGGTAAGAAGACAGTTCCAGGCTTTCTCTGATGCCTCCCAAAATAATTCATGACCCAAACAAAAAAGTTGTTATATTTACCACCCAAATTCTCTTCTTTAAGCTTTCAGATCTCAGAATTGCATGCTGTTCAACTTTGCTTATATAGAGATACCAGGTTCTATGTCTTTTGTCATTGCAATTATGGAAAGCCTTCCCTCCTCCCTGCCCTTTCTTATCATCTCGTGAATTAAAAAGTTACTGTGAGGAAAACAGGGGCGTGAAATTAAATGCAATGAAATGCAAGGTAGCTTAACCCACTTTCATTGAAGACCAAGCCACCCTGCATGTATTGCTGGGTAAGAGCAAGCACATGGGCAGCTTAGGTGAGTAACACTGTTTGCTCATACCATACTTTTCCTCACGATAACCCTTGGTTTAATGCTCCTATAAGTAACACCTTCTGATGCACCTTTAAAAAATGAAGGATTAAATATTCAGCCATTCCTTGTTTTCTTCTTTCTGTTCCAGCTTGTCCAGCAGGGATGTTCAAGGCCAACCAGGGGGCAGGGATTTGTGCCCAGTGTCCCACCAACAGTCGCTCCACAGCAGAGGCCTCTCCCATCTGCACCTGCCGCAATGGCTACTACCGCGCTGAGTTCGACCCGCCAGAGGCAGCGTGCACCAGTAAGTAATAGTGTCACAATATGCATAGGCCCAGGTCCTCATCTGCTTCTAACTCTAACAGCTATGGGTTGTACCTCAGGAGTGCGACCCAGTGCCAGGCGAGAGATGTACAGCTCTCCTGTTCTCTCAATGCATAGCCTAGCTTGCCCTCAGAGATCAATCCTAACATAATCTGCTTAGACATATCACCTCCTGTTCTGAGCAAATGAGTAGCTTTCACCCATCCTAATCCACACAGGGAAGTACTGTACATAATTTTCCTTTGTTCTTTCAATCAGAGATCCTTATGTGCTTAGATCAGATCAGTATTCAGGTCACTCTTCATAGAAGAGAAGTTCCTATCTACCTTTGCCCTGATAGCCTAGAGGCTAGGCCACTTGCCAGAGGACTGGGAGTCCTATATTTTAGGCTTTCTTCAACAGGCATGGGTTTGTACCCATATCTTCCACGTCCCAAGATAGTGTCCTAATAACTGTTGAACACACAAGCTAGAAACAACACTGGGAGCACAGACTGGGAACATGGGCCAGAACCCATGTCTTCTGGCCTTCAGGGCCAGTGCCCTCCTTCCTGAGGCACAGAGTCATACTCTCTTGCCTGCTCTCCTAGCTCCATGGCTTTACCTCTTGGCTGTGCAAGGGACAACTTCAACAGGAGGGGCAGAGGGTGCTTTTAGTTGTGCCTAGCCCATGGCCAGCTGGTTAGGGCACTGTGATGGGGAGCAGAAGATGTGCATTCAGACCCTCTCCCGTCTGAAGAGGGTTTATACTCTGGGCATGTGCCTTAACTACTAGGCTGTTGTGCTAAGAGTTGAGTGATTCCTCCACCCCATTGTCAAGAAGTGCAAGTTGCAATCTTTCTGTGGCTAAAGACTGGGGAATTTACATAGAATATGGATGTTTCCTAGGGTGGATTAGGATTTCCACAGAAGGTAAGTGAAAGTAGGCACCTCGGTGGAGCACTTCTGTGCAAGCTTAAAAGGCTAGAATGGAGACACATAAGGAACCTAGAGCTCCTCGTTGTTAGCTGTTGCACAGAGTGCAGTAGAATTGCATTTTGTGATTTAAATGCCTAAAAGCTTTGTAAGTGTTTCACAAAAGTGGATTGGTGTGCTAAGGAAATACAGAGTTCTGTGATATTCTCAGCTGATGGCTGGGGAGGGAAAACGTTCATTATGAAGCTCAGGGCTGGATGTTTAGAAGGCTGAACCTAGGGGACTTAGCACTGGAATTGGAGTCCAGCTCCCTTCTAAATAAGCACATATATCATAGCATCTCTTATCAGTGAGCCATGTCATTTTACCTCAGCTGGTGATCTGTTCCACAACTAGGCTGTGAAGGATGGGCCAAGGGGTTTTAAACTGTGTGTGTGACACAACCTCTTATGAGCCCGTAGAGATGGGAGGGGTACACATTAGAGGTTGCCACATAACAAGCATTCAGGGGTCCTAAGCTGCCATATGATATGACACCATTGTGCTGTGTTTTAATGGAAATGTTCCTCGTGTTGTAACACCACTAGTAATCTTGTTGTCAAAGTCTGGCATGAGCAGATGATGCTGCATCATCTTCTGCATCTATGCTAGCAACTGATTCTTGTGTGATACCAGCTGGGTGTGCACCAAATTATGAATAATGGGACAGATCCCAGCTCATGTCGACAAGACTTGTTTGAATTGATACTTTTTAGCGGCAGCATCTGCGATGGGAAGCAGGTACTCCTCAAGATAAATTAGAATGTGAGGTTATCTACCATTGCTGTCTTGTTCAGGTTATCTACCATTGCTGTCTTGTTCATAGACATGTTGACAAAATATTCTTTTGTAGGGCACAGAGTATGTTAAGTGTTGGTATTCTACGTGGCTTTATGTGAAATAAATCAGCTGTCTGCTGTAATCAGGCTGGCATGGCAACAGATAACTTAAGTCTCTTTCTCCATTAAAAACAGAACGCAGGGAAAAAATACTCAAAAAGCAACACCAGAATAATCAGTAAAGAAAGAACCCATTCCTAACCAGCAACACTCTTCTGTTAATTTGAAAATATTTGCCTACCAGTCAAAATGTCTAAGAGAAGGTGCCATCTAGGCCTTTGGAGTAGCTCATCAAGTATTGGGAAAATAAATTTGAGTGTGGTAGCAGACAGGGGTGAGAAAAGGCACCCCCCTCCTCTTTTTTGAAAAAACATGTAATTAGGTAATCCACAGGTCAGCGTGTGTCACATCCTCACTTTTGTGCCTGTTCCCCAATGGATGTATATTTGTTGCAGCTCTAGCATAGTGGGCCGAGCTGTTTGGCTACAACTGGTTTTTGCTCTGTAAGTCCTCATTTCTATATCTGGTAGGACAGACACAATGGTGGCTGTGCCTGGGAGACTTAAAAGACTTTATTGCTGGCACATGTGGATGGAGCAGAGTTGCAGGCATTTTACTTATTTCTGGTACAATAAAATAATTGAGAAGTTAAAAGTGGATTTTTTTGTCCTTGCATCCACCCCTCCACCCTCTTCTCCAACAACTTTTACTTGTTTAACAAGTGCAGCATGGGCGTTAGACTGTATTTCTCATCTGAACTCTGTAATGAGAACACGATTTTGATTGGGCTGTGATCATGCTATGCTGGGTTTACTGTACTAAAAATACAGTTCCTAAGAGGGGGTGCACATTTCCAGCAAGTTCACACTGGGAATCAGCATGTATTGAAGAAAGTGACTGAGCACACCTGGTTATCCCAGTGCTTCTCTATATACCCAGCATGTGTGGGCATAACCATACAGCATCTTACCGTAATGCTTCTATCTGCTGATATGCAGGAGAGGCTCAGGAATGTCTAAAAATATGCATATGAAATAAAGGATTAATTTAAATATTCTGCCAGATTACTTCAGCAGTAAGTGGCAGAGGGAGAACGGAGGCAGGTAGAACAATTGTAAATAAATCTATTTTTTATTGCATCTTGTTACATAGCTGATTTACAGTATGCTACACCAGAGGAGTACTGTATAAAAAAGTCCATTTGTTGATTTTTATTTCTCCTCATTAAGGCTTAATTTTAAAATGTTCTAATTTGAGGTGCCAGCTGTTCAATTTCAAAGTTGTTACGTGTCATAGGAGTAAATAATATCATATATCTGTAGATGCTTCTGTTCGCTGGTGCAATAAAAATGTGTCTGCGTCTTTCCAAAGGATTTGCTCCTAGGTAATTCTCTGCAGCTGCGCGAAGCTTTTCTGCACTTTGTCTTTATTAGTTGTTCTTTTAACCCCAGTTAATCAGAGAAAGGGGCACTGTCGAGATTAAAACTGTGAGCCAGATCTTCAGCTGCCGTAGATCAGTGCAGCTCCCTTGACATCAGTGAAGGCTGTCTGTGTGACTTCAATATAGCTATGCCACTTGATGCCAGCTGAGAGCATCCAGGCCATTTCCTTGATTTATATAATAATGACACTTTACATGATTGAAACAAGAAGAATATCTAAATTCTAATCTCCTCTTCACTTTCCTGTTTAATAACTTTTTAGATTTCCACTTCGCTCAGGCAGTGAAGCTAGACAAGCCTCTATACCCCACCCGTCTGAATCCACAGGGCACGGGGCTGCTCCATCATAGGCTGGAGGTGATGTTATTTAAGGCAGGCTGGCTGGGTGCTCTTAAGCCAACCTCACCTCCTGTAACGAGTTAACACCAGCATTTTTCAACCCACTGAGCTTTCCTGTTAGGGTCCCCCAGGGTCTTCAAGCCAGGCCTGTTCCCCACATACAGTCAATTCCACAGGGAGATGGGTGTGAAACAAGGTGTGCCTCACTGCAGAAAAGCAGAGGAAGGAGTGTGAACCTAATTGCCTCTCCCTCCCCAGAATTAGTCAGCACCCCCTTCTCTATAAAATAGTAGCTCCTTGATCACATGGGTGGGCAGCTTCCCAGGTACTATCTGAGATGCAGCAGCCAGGAACCTGAACTTCAGAGAGCAGGAAGAACCCTCCTCTGAACTCAAGGGCTAGATCTTAGTCCCTCTACTAGGCACCCGATTGGACTTAGGAGTTACCACTGTTGTCCTCTGATGCTCCAGGGGGAGCTACCAAACCTTTGGGGAGGACTGAATAGCTAAGAGCTTAGTTCTCCTCCTCTTAGGGACCAAATACCCCAGCCTATGAGCTTGCTTCCATATATCTAAAACAGGGGGGAGGGAAAATGACTTGTGACGAACAACCCAAATTCAGTGGGCTTTTTTTTTTTATGAAGGAAAGCCTTACATTAAGTAAGGTAGGGGTTAAGGAAGTAGGTGAAAACAGATAATTACCTTTTAAAACGCTGCCTGTGAAATACAGCTCTGAGAAGCATGTGTGCAGATATATACCCTGTTACATCTCTGACCACATGAACCCTTTCTATTGTCTGCTGGAAATTAATTGTTTCAGGCATCATCTTTCTTTCTCTCTTGCATTCTCGCTTTCTTCCTCTCTTAGCATTTTTATTCATTTAATTTATCATTTGATGTTTACTGCCAAGGGTAGGAAAAGGCTGGCAGCATTAGCTACCCCTTCAATATTATGCATTGTGCAAGATTGCCCCACCAAATCAAGATCTGAGCAAAGTGAGAAAAGCAGTTTGCTAGAAAATCCTCCGGCTAAAATATCCTCCCTGTTAACTTGCCGTGGTTCCCAGCACTCAGCAAATTGATTGTCAGGTTCTCCTCTATAAATCATTTTTAGGAGGATTTTAAGAACTCAAACGTGAGAATTTGTTGTGGGTATGGGTATGAAAATGGGGGAGGGAGGGGGAAGGAGGGGTGTTCATACCCATAGCTCCTTAGCAGGGACCACAATTAAAATACTTCAAAAGCAGAACTCGATAAGCTCTATTTAAGTTGGGGCCTGACATCAGTAGGAGCTTTGTCATTGACCTTAGTGGGAGCAGGGACATTAAAATTAAAGGCAAATATTTATTTTATGATAGTTCCTGAAGGCCCCTGTCAGAATTTGGGGCTATACAAACAGAGAAAAGGC